TGCTCCTCCTTCTCCCTTTGCCCCTCCCCCCACCTGTGTGTGCCCGCGTGTGTGCACTCTCTAATGAATAAAATCTTTAAAATAAATACATAAATAAATAAAATAACACAGAACAATTTTCTCATCTACTGCAATATTATCCAGGAAATCTGAGGCAAAGTCACCAAACTATTTCTAAATGCAATGACTTGCAAACAGAGACTGACTGTGGCTTTGTATCCCTTGAAATCTACTCAAACATACCTCGGGAACGGAGACCAACACAGCACTCAACATGCACAACAGTACCTATCTGACGTTAGAAACCTTTGAGTGAGACAAGGCAAACATGAACTACAAGTATGAAGGCATGGGGAAAGACTGAGGAAACCAATCTGCTTTCTTCTATGGCAACCCAAATGATGAACTGAAGACACTCCATGCTTACTATATTTATGCTTAAGGCAATTTTAAAAATGAGGTCTTAACCAAAAAGCCTGTACCTGGCCTTCAAAAAAGTATTTAAATTTTTTGGATGGGCTACAAGAACTAAATTGTCTACACAAAATCTGTACAGCAGGGACCTACCTGTTTTCAGCAGGTAAGCCTATTTACAAGTAAGAATCTTTCATTTTCATAACATTGTCTTGTTTTGTTTGAAGAAAATATTTGTCTTTTGATAATTTATATCCAAACACATGGGTTTACAACCCAATTCACCCTACTTTTGTGGTTAAAAAAGAAAACAGAAACAAAAACAAAAACAAGGGGGATATTCATTTGGTCCTGAGTAAATAGTTACCCCAGACAACTAGTAAAAGTAAATACAAATGATCTCTCAATGAATGAACTTCAATCTATGCCTCAAAGAATTTCTACAGATAAAACCCAAGGAATATGAGCTTAGAGTAAAAATCCACAAAACACACAAGTAAACAAGGCAAAGTAAATAAAAGCTAGCAGCAACAGCTGACCCAAAAAATCAGACTTGCAAAATCTTTGGATATGGAATGGCAAGATACTGAATATAAAATAAGAAGGTTTAATACTAATTCACCCAACAACTATTTTTTTTTAATACCTTCTATTTGCCAGGTAATATTCTAAGCTCTGAGGACAAAGCAGCTAACAAAACAAATACCCCGGCTCTTAAGGAGGTTACATTTTAGAAGAGAGAGACTAGTAAAATATGTAGTATGGCAGGTGGTAGGGAAAAAAGCTACGAGAGAGATACAAAATACTATAGTAGAGGGTATCTCACTGTCTTTAGAACCAGGCGAGGATAAGCTTTGGGTATGAGGGATGATCTGAGAGTTCTGGGCTTCTTGACAGAATCAGGGACATAGGCAAAATGGATTGCAGATAGTGGCAGTAAGACCCTTATGGGGAGTGGAGTCTCTTCTCAAGAGCATACAGAGTCCTAGGCTTCTCTCTTCACCCCTGCCAATGTTCATGTGAGGGGTAGGGAAGGACTGATCTTATCTGAAGCCCAGGTTACAAGAGAGATCCCTCTCTTTTCCTGCTGATGGAGGCCTAGAGGACAGAGGACAGATTGGTTTACCTTTGAACCTTTGTTTCAAGAAATGAAAGCTGGTAGATATGAGCAAGAAACAAGAGACTATACAGAACTGCCCAACAGAACTTCTAAGAAAGAAAAAAAGGATAGAAATTAAAAACTCAAGTGCAAAAGGAGATTGGACACAACTGAAGAATTAGTGAACTACAAGTCAGATCCTAAAAAGCTATACAAATGCAGACACAAAATATGAGAGATTACAAGACTTGGATGATAGAATTAGAAGGTCTAATATACCTGTGATCAGAATTCTCTGAGGAGTTAGCAAAAATGAGGGAAAGGAAACATTCAAAGAGATAATAGCTGATAATTTTCCAGAATCGTTGGAAAGTTATGATCTACCTGGCCACAGCAGGCATTTAAGTTTTGGACTCCTTGTCTATAAGTAAAAGTTTTTATTAAACCACCTTCCAGAAATATGTCTTTCATTGAACACTACTTTACAGTTTATAAAGGGCCTTCACATACTAAAATCTATGCTACATGTTTTTAGATTTATTAGTCTAGGATTTGTTTTCCTGATAGGAAACTGGAATAATCTCTAGACATGTATCAAGGCCATTCTCTCTTTTTTTTTTAAGATTTTATTTATTTATTTGACAGAGAGAGACACAGCAAGACAGGAAACACAGCAGGGGGAGTGGGAGAGGGAGAAGCAGACTCTCTACTGAGCAGAGAGCCTGATGCGGGGCTCGATCCCAGGACGCTGGGATCCTGACCTGAGCCGAAGGCAGACACTTAATGCCTCTGTCACCCAAGCACCCCAAGGCCATTCTCTTTAAAGCAGAGAAGAGTAAGTTACTCATGACCAAATTTACTAAAGATTACTACAGCACACTCTTCAATGTGATGGACATGGTAGTTACTGCTGAATTTGGTTGATTCTCTGCAGTTTCCACTTCAACATTCTTTCGGGATATTTGCTTTGCAAATTTTCCTATCTTTTGTTTTTTCTCCCCAGGAATGATTTTGAGGGTCTACTGAAGGAAGTGCTCTTCAGTAGATTAAGTGGTAAGATCCAATTTCATCATGATCTTGGAGGCTCCATAAATAACTTTCTCTATTTCCTATGTGAAGAAGGTCAGAACCTTCTTAGCATGACATAATAGGCTTTTTTTTTTTGTATTCTGTCACTATTCTCCTTCCCAAGTCTACTCTCAGTACAAGCACACCAGACAACTCAAATTTTTTCCAAATATATGAACACATACCAGGCTCTTAGGCCACCATGCTTGTGTACAGAAAACTCCCTTGACCCTTTCATTGTTCCTCCCTTCCTTTTTCAATGCTCCTCACTAACCTCCTCCCACCTAAAATCCATTGGTCTCAAAAAACTCAACTGGTTTTTCAAGAAATGGGCAGAAGACATGAACAGACATTTCTCCAAAGAAGACATACAAATGGCCAACGGACATGAAAAAATGCTGAACATCACTCGGCATCAGGGAAACACAAATCAAAACCACAAGGAGATATCACCTCACACCAGTCAGAATGGCAAAAATTAACAACTCAGGAAACGACAGATGTTGGCGAGGATACAGAGAAAGGGGAACCCTCTTACACTGTTGGTGGGAATGCAAGCTGGTTGTAGCCACTCTGGAAAACAGTGTGGAGGTTCCTTAAAAAGGTAAAAATGAGCTACCCGGCAATTGCACTACTAGGTATTTATCCAAAGGATACAAACATAGTGATTCAAAGGGGCACCTGCACCCCAATGTTTATAGCAGCAATGTCCACAATAGCCAAACTGTGGAAAGAGCCAAGATGTCCATCAACAGATGAATGGATAAAGAAGAGGTAGTATGTATACACAATGGAATATTACTCAGCTATCAAAAAGAATGAAATCTTGCCATTTGCAACAATGTGGTTGGAACTAGAAGTATTATGCTAAGCAAAATAAGTCAGTCAGAGAAAGACAAACATCATATGACTTCACTCATATGCGGAATTTAAGAAACAAAACAGAGGAACATAGGGAAAGGGAAGAAAAAAATAAAATAAGACAAAAACAGAGAGGGAGACAAACCGTAAGAGACTCTTAACTATAGGAAACAAACTGAGGGTTGCTGGAGGGGAGGGGCTGGGGGCTGGGGTACCTGGGTGATGGGCGTTAAGGAGGGTACTTGATGTAATGAGCACTGGGTGTTATATGCAACTGATGAATCACTAACTTCTACCTCTGAAACTAATAATATATTATATGTTAATTAAATTGAATTTTTAAAAAACTCAACTGGTTTTTTATGACCCTCCTCAAACTGGGCAGCTGACTACCCAAAGCTTTCTCTGACATTTATGGCACCTACTGCTACAAAGTATTCATCTCTGTATCCAGGCAGGTCTGGCATGTGATGGTTGTTCAATAAATTCTTGGTGAATAAATGGTACAGAAAGTCTGGGAAAACACTGGGGTTGGGATGGGGTGGAGGCAATCAAGCTTAAAAGGTCACTGTAGAGCAATCTTCATCCCTGGACCCAGAAATACCACATCTAGGAAATTTACCTCTACAAATAATTGAGAATGTGCTCAAAGATTTAGCTGCAAAGCTCACACTTCATTGCTGTTTCAATAGCAAAATCCTGGACACAATTTTAATCCTTCAGTTGGACTTTAGCTAAATAAACACACAGTGGAATACTAAATACCCATTTAAAACATGTATGGAAAAAAATAGAAACATATATGGAAAATATTTAGTGGCATGTCACGATATTTTATTCAAGGAAAAAAGGCTGTTCAAGGAAAAAAGCAGTGTGTTCACTCTGCTTACATTTAATGCTATACATCGAATTGTCAACAGTGGTTTCCTGGGTGTGGGATTTCAATTTTTTTATCTTCCTTCTGATTCCAAAAAAAAAAAAAAATCTAACTTGTATACAATGAGTAGTAATTACTTTTGTGATTAAAAAAAGGAGGACTTTGTTTTCAAAGGAGAGAGTCCTGTCCTTTCGTGGTCCGACTTCCCTTTGGAGCTCCAACTCTTGTGAAATGCCATTCATAGTCCCAGCATTCCAGGGTGCCCAAGGGAAAAGGGCTGCCCAGGTATTTTAGCCTCATTTCACAAAACAGAGGCTTGGAAGGGAAAAACAGCTGCTCCAGTGCTCAATGATTTTAAAACCCAAACAGTTCCCAAGATTTGGCAGTTAGAAAACTTGCATTAGCATGCTTCACTTTTCAAGATAACCTCCTCTCAAAATTCTGTGCTGACGCTGAAATCATTTGCCATGGAAGGACTCTGTCCCATCCAGGAGAAAATTCGAAAGCCAGCGTATTCCTTCCTACCCTAATCTACATGTACTTGGACATTCCACAGCCAGAAGCCATCCCCCCCC